AGCGACAGAGGGTCATACAGCTCAGAGCTTCAGATTAGAGGATGATGGTACACAGTTCTAGATCGCTCACCGCACCTCAGCGCCCGACTCGTCTGCTCCTGCCCCACCGACAGACCCTTAGGTTTTGGTGTTTGACGCCAAAGGGGGAGAGGGATCGAGTATGATAGACATAGGGGGGCGATATATCTAGGGGAGCTTATTTATTATGTTTGGTTTTTTATGTGTGATACATTATTATGCATTCATGTTTACTTTCATGCATTGAACTATATACGTATGAGTGTGATATTTATGTGATATGTGACATATGTGCTCTCTACTTTGATTTATTTATATGTCATGTCACTTCATTATACTCATTTGGTTTGCTTCCGCGTTTTTACTCCGATGCAAATGAGCCTTATTACTTGTACTCATGCTTATTTCATATCTATTGAGTACATCATGTTGGCTTGGGTCATATAAGCTTGCCTCACTCTTTTGTTCTCATTGTTAAAAGCTTATATGAACCAAGCATGTTGAAAACCTCATCTCTTTTACATACTCGAGGTTGTATTGTCATCAATCACCAAAAAGGGGGAGACTGAAAGCATCTAGACCCCTAGTTGGGTTTCGGTGATTAATGACAATACGAGATTACTGTGACTAACATGTGTTTTGCAGAGGCAATTAAGTTAGGTTATGGTAATGACTATTGATTGGGCAATCATGGTTGTCATGCCCCTACGATGGAAATCAATTCGGTTTGCAAAGGATGGACGACAACGTTAAGGATAGACTAGTTCTAAGTGTCGTTTGGTGTTGAAGAGACACTTAGAGTAGTTTAGGACTTTGTTTTTCATTGGTCGTACTATTAAGGGGGGTATGGACTAGTAGCTTGACCTAGGTGAGTCTAGTGGGTTAGGTGCGGTGCACACTTGTCAAATCTAGCACTAGGTAGCTCCAAAGTAGCACTTAGATCAATTGGAGCAAACTTCATTCACATATGATTTCGAGTTGGAAGTGAATGGAGGGTCAAATGTTGACCGGACGCTGGTTTCGATGTGACCGAACATTGGCAGTAGAGTCCGATCAGTTCATTTGATCAAGTGAACCCGTCTGGTTGCGATTGGACGCTGAGTGAAATGTGACCGGACGCTGGGTGCCAGAGTCCGGTCAACTCTAGTAAGGTTCTAGAGAGGGAGAATCCTGATCGGACGCGTCCGGTCAGTGCTGACTGGACGCTGGTCAGGTTCCGGTTACTGGCCGGACGCTGAGCAGCGAGTGACCAGACTCTAGGTTCCAGCGTCCGGTCAACATCAGTAAGGTTTCAGAGAGCAGTTTTTGTGACCGGACGCGTTTGGTCAGTGCTGACCGGACGCTGGCTAGAGTCTGGTCACAACTTAACTGCTCGGTGGCGGGGAGAACTGACCAGAGCGTCCGGTCACCATGACCGGAGCGTCCGGTCACCCCGCAGAGGCACGTAACGGTTCGTTTTGAACGAGGGTGTATAAATACTTCCTCTATTCATTCAAGGGGTACTTTTACGCATTTCAACAGCTGAGAAACACCCTTGAGAGTGCCAAGGAGAGCAAGGTCCTAGTGAGGTGATTGAGATTTGAGAATCCAAGATTGAGGCCTCATTAGTTCAAAGAGAGTAGCAAGTGTGCATCCACCCTTCTCATTAGGCTTGTTGTGGTCAAGTGAGAGTTCTTGCTTGTTACTCTTGGTGATCGCCATCACCTAGATGGCTTGGTGGTGATTGGGAGTTTGGTGATCATCCGGTGGAGCTTGTGGATGACCCAACTCAAGTTGTGAGCGGTTGTGGGTGATTCACCGCGACGGAGTGTCGAAGAATCAACCCGTAGAGAGCACTTGATCCTTGCGCGGATCAAGGGGGAGCAACACCCTTGCGCGGGTGCTCCAACGAGGACTAGTGGGGAGTGGCGACTCTCCGATACCTCGGCAAAACATCGCCGCATTCCTTCTCCTCTCTTTACTTTAAGCATTTACTTTTGAGCAATTCAATACTTGTCTTTACATTCCTAGAATTGCCATGCTAGAGTAGGATTGGAACGTAGAGTGCATAACTTTTGTGAGGTAGATTAATAGGAACACATTCTAGGCACAAGGGGTGAAGTGGGCTAAGTGTAGGGTTTAATTATTGCAAAGAATTTTAGAATTAGCCCAATTCACCCCCTCCCCCTCTCTTGGGCATCTTGATCCTTTCATATTGTTCAGGCTTCCCATGTGCGGCGTGATAGCAATTCATAGCAGTCAACCACAACACCATCTTGGCACGCCTATTCGGCTTCAAAGCAGCAGCAAAACCACTGACAGAAAATTGCCTAACATTAGGTTTTTGGATTGTTAGATAATTAGGCATTTTCATGGTCAATTTAATCCAGAAACAAAACATCAGCTGGTTCGTGCCGTCATATATGTGCATATGTATATCTCTAACAAATGCTACAGCATGCAAATATGATATACTAATCGATACAGTAAGTACGCAAAGTACTGTAATCACAGAGTTAAGAATGTACCCAGCGGAGGGTCTCATGTCGAGGGCATCGAGGCTCCATTCGCACCAGACATAGTGCGTTGCTCGAAGTTATGGACCACAGTCGATGTCGGAAGGTGTTCGCAGTGCAGTCCCACGAGCGATCACCAGGAAGAAGACGTCGGAATCGCCCCCCAAAAACCTAATCGCCGCACACCCCGTGCAAGGTTCGTAGGCGGACGAGGGTTCCGGAGGCACCTACTCTCCCGCTGCTCCGTGCGCGCAGAGGTACAGGACGGAGAAAGCCAAAGGGCGGCTGAGATGTGTCTCTCGGAAGCGAAGGAGGAAAGGATTGACGGAGGACTTTGTGTTTTATGCCCTCGGCGGGGAGGTATAGAGCCAGCGGAGGAACTCAGCAGACGGAGACACGAAGAGATGGTAGACGGTAACTGGCACAATCAGCTCGCCTCCACCATAAATGAAAGAAACTCCCGTAATTATGTGGATTAAGTGGCAAAATCTGGCCACGCCCGCCTGTCCGCTCGCCTGCCTCGCCCTCGGCCCGGCCCGGGCGACGGCGGCGGCGGCGCGCGCGCGTGTGGCACTCATGTGTCCTTTTCTCAGCTTCTCAATTAAGATGGATAATTTCCAACTAAATAAGCTGAGTCAACGTTCAGTCAAAATCTCGTATGGTATTAAATCATATAACGCTTAATGTTATGGACCATAGAGTTTTATTTGATTTATTAAATATTATATGGGCGAAGCCCATAATATATCCAACACGTGACATGGGGCATGGGCCACCAGCAGCCCGACGAGCGTTGAAAGAGTGGCGGCGGCGACCGACACATCCAAACTTAGGTTATTTTCTTTTTCTTTTTTGTTTTTTTATTGCTCATTACTATCGGTTGAGGCAACGCCAATGGTAGCCTTCACCATATATCACTGTCGACTACGCAATGCCGGTTCCAAAGGTCGGTAGTGATAGGCCTTTAAAACCAATAATGATTTTTTGTTTTAGAATTGGTTATGCCAGCTGCTAAACTTTTTGTGTGGAATTCTATTGCTTAAAACCGTATCGTTTCCTTCGTCAAAAGAAACAACAGAGCTACAAGTTTTGAGACTTGAGAGGCACTGGACATTCTGTTCCGGGAACCTGCTGGAAAGTCTTCGTTGTCGGACTGCCCAACCGACACCCGTCACCGACCTGGCACACGTTTTCTCCACAGGCCCAACGGTGCCACGATGAAACAACGGCCACACCTGCACGGCCCAAAGAAATGAAATCAAACGCGCCCACAGCATCTGACCTGCGTCAAAACCCACCGGGCCCAATCTAACCCGTCAGTAAAAACCGTCGGCCCAAACGCGCCTTCCAGGGAATCCAGGCACGGTCGAATGGCCAATCGTATGACCCTATAAAACACCAGGACGACTGATCGCGCAGAGCAGACCAAAACTCTCACACCAACACATCCCTAGAACACCGACAGAATCCGAAGATGAGCGTGGAGATCCTGGACGGGAGCACGGTGCGGAGCTTCGTGGAGGACGAAGGCGCCTTCAATTCCTCGGTGGACGGCCGGTTCGCGGCGCTGGACGCCGACCACGACGGTCTGCTCACCTACGCCGAGATGGCCGGAGAGCTCATGAGCCTGCGCGTGCTGGAGAAGCACTTCGGCGTGGACGAAGCAGCCATAGACCCCAACGAGCTCGCAGGCCTGTACCGCGGCCTTTTCGCGCGGTTCGACAGGGACGGCAGCGGCAAGGTGGACCGGCACGAGTTCCGGGCGGAGATGAAGGAGGTGATGCTCGCCGTGGCCAACGGGCTGGGCTTCCTGCCCGTGCAGATGGTCGTAGAGGAAGGCAGCTTCCTCAAGGTCGCCGTCGACAGGGAGCTCGGACAGCTCGCCAGAGCTGCCTGAAGTTCTTCAGCACAACAGCCAGGGCTTGATTGGAGTTTTCAGTTCAATACTAAATTTTGATGCGTTTCGTACTATTCATTACCACCATTTTTACATTGAGTTACAGAGTATTAATTTGTAAGACTTATCCATGTAGTAAGTGCAGCTTGTTCTATGATCACGCAAAGAATTAATACGAGCAAATATACTAATTTGTAAGAGTATCTTTTTGTGTGCAAGAATGGCATGTTGTATGGCCTGATTTCAGTTCAGACTCTCAAAAAAACTACGTGATGGCAAGAAGCAGAGTTGATTGGTACTATGGCCAAATACAGTTAAATCTGGGTAGGGCTATATATTCGGAGAATAATTTGAAGTTTAATTAAAGCTGTAGTTCACAAAATTATACCCCGTAGCAACAGCAGAGTGTGGAAATGAACTGTACATGCAAAGAGTATAGCCAATAGTTCGTTACTGCAGTCAGCCATCCGCTCTGCACGGCGCAGAGGCGGAGATGTCTGCACTGCACGCTTTGTTCGTTTGTTTGTCTGCCCGCTCGTCGTCGTCGCCGGCCGCCGGCCATCTTTGTGCTGTCGTCCCTTGCATTGTTCTCAGATCCTGGACGGGATGAGAGGCGTGTAATTCGACAGGTACGCCGCCGCGGCCGCCACGCCGCTGCCGAGCTTCACCGGGAACCCCACGTCCTTGAGCACCATCTCCACGCCGCTCAGGCATCCCAGCAGTTGCAGCTGCAAAGATATGTTACAGTGGTTAACTAATAAATTGCCAGCAATGCAAATTGCAAGTGCACGGCTAGGATACCTCGTTGAGGTTGCCGAGATGGCCGATCCTGAAGACCTTCCCGGCGACCTTGTTGAGGCCGAGGCCGAGGCCGAGGCTGAGGTTGTACCGCTTCCACGCGTGCTTGACGATCCTGGACGGGATGAGAGGTGTGTAATTCGACAGGTACGCCGCCGCGGCCGCCACGCCGCTGCCGAGCTTCACCGGGTACCCCACGTCCTTGAGCACCATCTCCACGCCGCTCAGGCATCCCAGTAGTTGCAGCTGCAAAGATATGTTACAGTGGTTAACTAATAAATTGCCAACAATGCAAATTGCAAGTGCACAGCTAGGATACCTCCTTGAGGTTGCCGAGATGGCCGATCCTGAAGACCTTCCCGGCGGCCTTGTTGAGGCAGAGTAGCACTGATCGGCGGTGAACCTCCAGGCGGAGGTGTCCGGCTGCGCCGATAACTGCACCCCCTCCAATAGGTCGTACAGGCGGTCGAACTGGAGCAGGACCTGCATGGTTAGCGGCCCGGTGATGTGGACGATCCATGCGTTGTTGTGTAGGGCCTCGGCAACGGTGGCCCTCCGCTTTCTCGCTTTCACCGCAGCGAAAACAGCGGGAGCAGCATCCTCAATGCTGCGGCCGTCAAGCCATCTATTTGTCCAGAAGAATGTGGACTCTCCATTCCCAAGCATGATATATAGTGGCCGCCTGGAACACGGAAATAACTGCCTATTCCTTCGAAGCCAGGGCGGTCGACGCGCTCGATCGCGCTACCGCCACTCCCAGCAGACTCGAGGGCGATCCCGCACGTCGAGGTCGAGACGCCGAGGCCACCGAGGTCCCCGGGCGCACACACAGTCTCCCATGCCACCATGCACTTTCCTCCGGAGACTTTGTCGAACCACACCAGATGAAGGCGCGACGCAGCTTGTCAATCGACCCGATCGCCCAAGGCAACAAGCAGAGGACGATGGACATATGCGTCGGGATGGTAGACATAGTTGCTTTCAACAGAGCCGTTCGTCCAGCAACGTTGAGCATATTGCCCTTCCATTTCGGTATTCTTGCAGCGACTTTATCGATGAGAGGCTGCTCGTCAGATCTCTTGAGTCTCCGGACTGAAAGCGGTGCCTCTAGATAGCGACATGGGAGGTCCTCGATCCGGCAGGAGAGGATATCCCTAACTCTGGCAATGTCGTTCTCCGAGCAGTGGAGCGGGGACGCTACACTCTTGTCTAGGTTGGAGAACAGGCCCAACGCTAAACCAAAAAAGGTGAGCACTGCCTTGATGACCTGTAGGTCCCTCACATTAGGAACCACGAACAGAACTAGGTCGTGAGCGTATAGACTCGTCCTGTTGCCGACACTGTCATGCAGAGGTGTTAGAAGCTGCTGCTGCTCTACCCATTTTAGGAAATGGTTAAGGACCTCCATGGTGAGCACAAATAACATCGACGAGAGTGGGTTTCCTTGGCGAAGGCCGCGAGCATGGCAGATTCGCCTCCCGGGCGGCCGTTGAGCAAAATCTTCGTGCTTGCAGTGGTCAAGATTATTGAAATCCAATCTCTCCATCGCTGGCGAAACCCATGTGTTGGAGGACTTCTAGCAGGAACGGCCATGAAACTGTGTCGAAAGCCTTTGCTATATCAATCTTGAGCGAGATGGTCGGCGACTTCTTTTCATGGAATTTTGTCCTAAATCAAACTTCTCTAACTCTGACTTGGTTTATAGAAAAATGCACAAACATTTACAACATCAAATTATTTCCATTAAATCCACCATGACATATGTTTTGAAAGTGCATGTAGATAATACAATAGAGATTTGACTTGAAACCTAAAAAATTTTTAGGATTCAACAATTTTCATAATTGGATTGTGTAATTAAATTGATCCAGACCCGGGTTGTATTTTCATTAAACCTACCATGTATGATATGCGTGGGCTTGACGGGTGGCGTGGGCACCAACACTTCACTCTCTATCCGTCTCTCCCTGGTAGCTCCCCCTCACAGCACGGGTTTGGATGGGCGGCGTGGGCTTTGGCAGGCGTTGGCATGGTAACCTCCTCCCCTTCGTTGTCGGCCTCGCTGACGGGTGGCCCTAGTGTTAGATAATTAGGCATTTTCATGGTCAATTTAATCCAAAAACTAAACATCAGTAGGCTCATGACGACATATATGTGCATGCGTATATCTCTAACAAATGCTACAGCATGCAAATATGATATATTAATCGATACAGTAAGTACGCAAAGTACGGTAATCACAGAGTTAAGAATGTACCCAGCGGAGGGTCCCATGCCGAGGGCATCGGAGGCTCCATTCGCACTAGACATAGTGCGTTGCTCGAAGTCGTGAACCATAGTCGATGCAGAAAGGTGTTCGCAGTGCAGTCCCGTGAGCGATCACCAGGAAGAAGACAGGTTCCGCGAGCGATCACCAAGAAGAAGACGTCGGACGAGCAGTCACGGAATCGCTCCCTAAAAACCTAATCGCCGCACACCCCGTGCAAGGTTCGCAGGTGGACGAGGGTTCCATAGGCACATGCTCTCCCGCTGCTCCATGCGCGCAGAGGTACGGGACGGGGAAAGCCAAAGGGCGGCTGAGATGTGTTCTCTCGGCAGCGAAGGAGGAAAGGACTGACGAGGGACTTTCTGTTTTATGCCTGCGGCGGGGAGGGAGAGAGCCAGTGGAGGAACTCAGGAGACGATAGACGGTAACTAGCGCAATCAGCTCGCCTCCACCATAAATGAGAGAAACTCTCATAATTATGTGATTAAGTGGCAAAACCTGGCCACGCTCGCCCGTCCGCTCGCTCGCCGCCCGCCTTCCTCGCCTGGCCATGCCATGGCCACTGCCTCGGCCTCGGCCTGGCCTGGCCCGGCCGGCGGCGGCGGCGCACACGCGCGTGTGGCACTCTTGTGTCCTTTTCTCAACTTCTCAATTGAGATGGATAATTTCCAACCAAATAAGTTGAGTCAACATTCAGTCAAAATCCCGTGTGGTATTAAACCATACAACGCTTAATGTTACCGACCATAGAGTTTTATTTGATTTATTAATTATTATACGGGCCAAGCCCATAATATATCCAACAATCCCCACCAAACTCTAAGGTTTGTAACAAAGTAGTCTCAGAACCATATTTCTTTTATATACTAGTGTTTTGATGGAGACTGTTAAGTTGAACATCCATCTAGATCAATAGTTTCACTCAGTCATAACTGAACAATGGACTAAACCTTGAATTGATAGTTTTGTGTGAGGTGAATGTCACTAAAGTCCTTAGCTGATACTAGGCTGCAAAAGGCATCCCCTCTATTTGAAGCATATAAGTCATACTCTAGTGGCTTTCATGAGTATTTAGATATCACCCAAATCTCATAGACTGTGACCAACAGTTTGACTCATATAGGTGTGTTCCTCAAAAGATGTTATGTAGGACAACATCTTTGCTTTAGTAAGCCACTTGTAACACATTAAGGTAAAAAACCAACCTACCTTACAGAAAGGAAAGATATGCATCAGAAATGAGTTTTACTAAGGGTCTTTTTTCACAATTTACTACTAGCTTGTTTCACCATCCTACTTCACGAGATCTCCGATCACATAGAACAGGTTACCACTATAGTAAATTTCATGTGGGTCTCAAACCCATCTCTCTCGTTGCACTTTCTATCACATTGCATGACAGACCCTTAGTGAATTGATCTGTCAGATTGTTAGACGTGTGAACATAGTCCAACGCTATTACTCCGGAGTTTCTCAATTTTCTGATGGATTTTAGTCGTCTCTTAACATGTCTTGTGGACTTCATGTTATCCTTAGAACTGTTAACCTTCGTAATCATAGTCTGGTTATCGCAGTTCATAGAAATAGCATGTATGGGTTTTTCAACAACCGGTAAATCCATAAGGAGATCACGAAGCCACTCGGCCTTAGAGCCAGCAGCGTCTAAAGCTGTGAGTTCTGCTTCCATTGTAGACTTCGTTAAGATAGTCTGCTTGCAAGACTTCGAGGAAACAGCACCACCTCCAAGCGAAAACACATATCCACTTGTGGCATAAAGCTCATCAGCATCAGAGATCCAGTTGGCATCACAATAGCCTTTCAGCACCTTTGGATGTCCGGTATAACAAATACCATAGCTCATAGTGCCTTTTAGATAGCGCATCACTCTCTCAAGAGCACACCAGTGATCATCTCCCGGGTTTGACACAAACCGGCTTAGCTTGCACACAGCAAATGAGATGTCAGGCCTCGTTGCACTAGCAAGATACATGAGCGAACAAATGATCTGGGAATATCTCAATTGATCCCATGATATTCTCCGATTTTTCCTCAATAGTACACTAGGCGTCATAAGGTGTAGGAGCAGGTTCACAGTCACTAAACCCAAAGCGACTCGGCACCTTTTTCACATAATGGGATTGTAACCGAGTTACCCCACCATCACTTTCTCTCAGAAGCTTGGTATTAAGAATAACATCAGCCTCTCCCAAATCTTTCATTTCAAAATTATTAGATAAAAATTTCTTCACCTCCTCAATCACTTTGAGGTGAGATCCAAAGATCAGTATGTCATCAACATATAAGCACAACATAACTCCTTCAGCCCCACCATGCCGATAGTACACACATTTGTCAGCTTCATTCACAACAAAGCCAGCAAATGTTAGAGTTCTACGAAACTTTCTATGCCACTGCTTAGGAGCTTGTTTTAGGCCATATAATGACTTTAATAATTTACACACCTTGCATTCTTGACCATTTGCTACAAACCCATCCGGCTGATCCATATAGATCTCCTCCTCTAACTCTTTGTTTAGGAAGATGTCTTAACGTCCATTTGATGAACGATAAGATCATAGAAGGCTGCCAGGGAAAGCAAAACTCGAATTGTAGTCAATCGGACAACCGGTGAATAAGTATCAAAGAAATCCTCATATTCCTTTTGAGTATAACCCTTGGCCACAAGTCTTACCTTGTACCTCTCGATAGTACCATTAGGCCTAAACTTTTTTCTGAACACCCATTTACACCCTATAGGCTTGCACCCATAAGGATGATCAACTATTTCTCAAGTTCCATTAGACATAATAGAATCCATCTCACTCACGTACTGTTTCCTTCCATAAGTCAACATCAGGAGAGGAATATGCCTCTTCAATGGTCGTTGGTGTGTCATCCACAAGGTACACAATATAATTATCACCAAAAGACTTTACAGTCCTCTGTCTCCTACTTTTTCTAGTGACTATAGTGTCATCCTTCTTAGAATTTTGCATATAGAGTTCCTCAATTTATTCTATCGGAGTAAAATTTTCATGCTCATGGGGAATTATAAATTCATGATCAATCGTGCTAGGTGCATTTTTCATGGGAAATTCATTCTCAAAAAATGTAGCATTTCTAGATTCTATGATTGTATCAATAGCCATCTCAGGAACACTATAATTTATAATTAAAAATCTATAACCCAAGCTATGAATAGCATAAAAAAAACACAATCAATAGTCTTTGGTCCAAGCTTTCGCTTTTTGTTT